CCAGGAGCCGAGGGGCTGACCCTCACCCCTGCCCGGCCACGGGGTGGAGGGCAGCGCTGCCCCCAGAGCATGACCCCGTAGGCCTGGCTGCGGGCACTGAGCCCCCCTGGCTGTGTCTTCCTAGACGATGTCTTCCTGCCCAAGGACATGGATGGGACGGAGATGGATGAGACTGACCGGGAGGTGGAGTACTTCAAGAGGTAGGTGTGGGCGCTGCCCTCCGCTCCCTGAGGGAGCCCACGCGGGCCTCGGGCCTCAAACCAGCCTGCTCCTTCGCCTTGATCTCTGGGTGGGAGCCTCCCCAGCCCTCCAGACCCTGCCACCTGCTGCGTCTGCTGGAGCCCAGGGAGCTGCTGTGAATGGGGAGAAGGAAGCATGTCAGGGCCCAAGAACCAGGCCTTTCCCAGCTTACTTCACTTGGACGTTATCTGCTCTGCATGGTCCAGGCTCTGTGAGCAGAGTAGACCGGGAGGGATCTAGAAATCCACAGCCTAGCCACCAGCGCCACTAGAGTGTTGGGTGTGATGGGAGGGTGCAGGGGGGAGCCACCTGTGGGGCAGGGGCAGGCCCAGAGGCCTTCCTGGCAAAGGGGATACCAAGAGGAACCCTGAAGACTTCAGTCTGAGCTGGCCAGATAAGTGAGGTATACAAAGGGCCAAGGGTGAACCGAAACCAGTTCCATCCAGTGCCAGAAGATGCAGGGAGCTGTGGCTCAGGGCAGCCTCGCTGGCCTCCTGCACTCTTCCCTGATGCCCAGCTGGCAAGGCCCCTGTGCCTGCCAGCCCCAGCGCCTGCGAGTCGCTGGCTGTACAGAGCCAGCCGGCTTCTCGGCCGCGTACCCCAGCTCCACCAGGGGGTCGGGCGAGGAAGGAAGGGACCGCTCACTGCTTCTCCCGTGGCTCCCAAACCCTCCAGGTTCTGTTTGGATTCTGCAAAGCAAACCCGTCAGAAAGTTGCCGTGAACTGGACCAACTTCAGCCTCAAGAAGACCACTCCCAGCACAGCTCAGTGAGGTAGAGACCTCTCCCCGCGTGCTGTGCCGCTCCTTCCCGTGCCCCCACCACACCAGGCCGGGGCCAGGGAGTAGGCCTTGCGGTCCGGCAGCCCTGCTATGTGTGCTTCTGCAGCCATCTACAGTGTCTGAAGGTCTAGGCTCCAAGTCTTCTGTGGCTGCTGGTTCGGACCTCTCTGTCCGTGTGTCTCTCCTCCCTGGCCAGGCCCTCTCCACACCCCTGAAGGATCTTCCTGGACTGCCATTCTGAATGGTCACCACCAACCCAGCTGCCCCCTGAGCGCCTAGATGATCAGGCCTGGGGCTTAACGGGGTCCCCAAGGCAGATGCCCAGTCTGAGAAGAGCCTGAGGGAGCAGTGAGGAAGTAGAGGAGAGGTAGAGCAAGGCTGTGTAGGCCATCTAACCCTGGAGGCTCCCCCCAAACGGGACTCCCCTCAGTGAACTGGGGGCCAAGCCGCCTAGTGGAAGAAGAGACCTGGTTCCCACAGGAACGCTGGCCTCCCTCCGGACACCTGCAGAGAACTTTTGATCAGACCTATTGTATTGGCATAGGGAGGATGTTTGTGGGCCAGGAACCTTGGTGCAGAAGGAAAGGGCCAGAGGCGGGCAGGTTTCGGTGCTGGGCAGTCTCCCTGGAGCCAGGCCTTTCCAGCAACTAGCAGCTGCACAGCTCCTGCAGGTAGCAAGAGGCTAGGATGGGGGGGTGCCTGGGAGGTCCCCTCTCACCGCCATTCTCTCTCTTGGGAGAGTTTCTCTGGACTAAAGTCGTGGACTTCCTAGAGCTCAGGCTCCCAGTGGCACTGGTGTCCCTCCCCCCAGTTGGGGCTCTCTTCAGACCCCCAGCTGTCCTCAGCTCTCAGCGGTAGGACTCTGATCTTTGTCAGACCAAGATGTCTGTACCCCAGGAACATCTTCCAGGACAAGGGTGCCCTTCTGTCTCATCAGCCTCCACAAGAAACAGTAGAGACCCCCTGCACCTCACCTTCTATCCCAGCTGAGAGGAAAGGGCTCACCTCTCCTTCCAAAGTCCAATTCCATTGTCATCCAGGAAACCAAACCCAGCTTCTTGGCTGATACCTTCCTCTCTCATAAGTGCTGTCCTTTGACCCTCCTCACTGTCCACCAGGGCAGGGCCAGGAGCCCCAGGAGAGGAGTAAGCAGTGCTGAGTCCCTGGAGCTCAAGGCAGGGGTTTGAATGCAGGGCCTGCCTCCTCCTGTACCCGCCAGTGGGAAAGCAGACATCAGAGCTGGGCTCATATTCAGCCCTGACCTGGAAGGCTTTGCTTCTGCACAAGGATCCTGGGTTCTTCAAGGATCGTCCCCAAGGATTGTCTCTAGGATTCCAGGACTGAGCTCTGTTCCCTAGCAGGGCCTTTCCTTACTTTTGCATTACTTCCTAGGCAAGCATCTACCCCTTGGCCACATCCCAGTGCCATCCACAGCCTTCAGCCTCAGCTTCTGCTAGATGATTGGATCTAGTGAATCTGCTCCATGTTTTTGGACCAGAAGCTGCCTATTCTCACTACCACAGGGGCCCATGGGGAGGCCAGGACACAGGCCTTCTCTCACCATGATCCTGCTCTTTTCTTCTCTCTGCCCTGCCCAGGCTGAGCTTCTGCAAGTCATCCTGAGGCCTCCACTGCAAGCTGAAAGTCTCCAGAGTCTCCCTCCACGTGCCCTGCCCACATGCCCTGACCCTCCCTGCTCCCACGGTCCCGGACCAACCAAAAGCTGAACGGATGCCATGCTGTGCTGGGTCCCCAGGACCTCAGCAGAGCTGCTTCCTGGTGCTATGCAGCCTCCACACTCAGATCCCAGGGACAGGGCTAGCCTGACGGCCAGGGGCTGAGGGTACTGCTGGCCCAACACTGCTCTCTTTGTGTTTGTTTTTTTTTTTTTTTGTTATTTTTTTTCAATTCTTTACTTTTGATACTGTGAACATCTTTCATCCTGAAAGATAAAAGAAACATTTGGACACAGAGTTGGTGTGGTGTGATTTGCTGCCTGGGTAGGGAGAGGAAGGGATGTGCAGAAGCTCTACTGGAATCACAAACCTTATGGAGCAGGTACTGTGTGTCAGCACAGTTTGCACTCAGGCTTTAGGCCTTCTCAAACCAATCTTAAAGTGGGGCTGTAGACCCATTTTACAGATGAGAAACAAAGGATGAGAGTGAAGTGACTAGCACACTCAAGTCTGCTCAAGTAGAGCTTAACACAGGCCCATGTGACCCTGACATCTGTGTTGTTGGCCCAGCTATGATATGAGCCTAATAAGGCAGGTTCCAACCAGCTTTGGATCTGTTTTCCCCCTTTGCAGCATGGGCGAGGGGTGGTTTGGATGTCACCTCTGGGCATCTAGGTGTGGAAGGGGTCTAGAAGGCCTAAGCCTTTGCAGATCAGACACCTATGTCTTGCCAATTGAGGCTTCTCACCCTGACAATGTAGTGAGGGCAGTTGGGAGTAAATTCAGTTTCTTAAGTAAGCTCTGAGGTCTCAGTTGGGACTGTACCTGTATACTTGAGAGTAAAAAGGGTAACAAACGTATCAATAAGCACAAGCAATCAACTGCCTCCCCAGTTGGTGCTCGTTTGTAAATTCCAGCAGTAATACAATGATTTTTAAAAAAAAAAAATTCCAACGGGGCTGTGGTGGCTCACGCCTGCCATCCTAGCCACTCAGGAGGCTGAGATGTGAGGATCGCAGCTCAAAGCCAGCCCTGGCAGGAACATCTGTGAGACTCTGATCTCCAATAAATCACTAGAAAACGAAGTGGCGCTGTGGCTCAAGTGGTAGAGCATTTACCTTGAGCTGAAGAGCTGAGGGACAGTGGCCAGGCCCAGAGTTCAAGCCCTACCACCAACAGAAATAAAATTCCTCCTACATACATAAGTCCCAACTCCCAAATTAGTTTCATGTATGCTTTTTTTTTTGGGGGGGGGGGAGACCGGGTCAGTCTTGGGACTTGAACTCTGGGCCTGGGGGCATCCCTTAATCTCTTCAGCTCAAGGCGAGCGCTCTACCACTTGAGTCACAGCGCCACTTCCGGTTTCCTGGCTTCATTGGAGATCAGAGTCTCACGGACTTTCCTACCCGGGCTGGCTTTGAACCCCGATCCTCAGCTCAGCCTCCTGCGTGGCTAGGGTGACAGGCCTGAGCCACCGGCGCCCTGCATCGATCGTCTGCTTTTTTTTTTTCCCTCCTTCCTTTCAGTCCTAGGCTTTGGTGCCTAGCGGCTCCAATTCCTGGCAAGTCCTTTCTCCCCGCGAGCCCTGGGCCCGGGCGCCCTTGGCAGCCTTGGTTCTGGGCACCCCGCCACCCCGCGGTGTGGCTGTCCCTTTGTTCCCTGCGGAACCTCTGTGCACACGCACGCACGCACACACCAGCAGCCATCTGTCGCCGCCACTCTCCCTCCGGAGGCCTCGCCCCGCTTCCCGGCGCGGCGATTCCCACGCTGCCCCGGAGGCTCACACCCGCCGTCTCCCGGGCCTCCCCGCCCCAGCAGCCATTCTGCGCCCGCTCGGCCGCAGCCATGGACGTGTGCGCCCCGCCCCGCGGAGGCGGGGTCACGGATCCCGCCCCGCCCCCGCGGAGGCGGGGTCATTGCCCAGCCCCGCCCCTCGGAGGCGGGGTCGTGGTCCCGCTCCGCCCCCAGAGGCGGAGTCGCGGGTCCCGCCCCGCCCCCCCAGAGGCGGGGTCACGGTCCCGCCCGCCCCACCGGCGCCGCGGGGGTGGACACGGCCCTGGAGCCCCAGCTCGAGACGCCGCCCCCGGAGCCCCGCGCCGCACGTCCTCCGGCGTCCGGCCTGACGCCTTCGCCCTCACCCCCCGGCACCGCTCACGGTCCCGTCGGGCTACCGCCTCTTCGGAAGGAAGTTTGTCCCTCGGCGCCACCCGGCGCTCCGCGTTGTTGCTAGGCGCCGACGCCCATGCCCTCTCACCTGATTGGTTCTCGTTGCAGCGTGGGGGCGTGGTCGTCCGGAGCGCGCATGCGTGCGCCAAGGATGGAGGAGTCGGAACCCGAGCGGAAGGTGGGAACGGCGGCCGGGGCGCGCGCGGGTCCGGAGCCGGGGAGGGGGTCGCGGGCCTGAGCCGGGCCGGTGTGTGGGGAGCCGGGGAGGGGGTCGCGGGCCTGAGTCGGGAGCCGGGGAGGGGTCGCGGGCCTGACTTCGTGCGTATCCACAGCGGGCCCGCCCTGACGAGGCGACTGCCGGAGGGAGTCGCTCCGAGGATGAGGATGGGGAGGAGGAAGACTACGTGCCGTATGTGCCGCTGCGACAGCGCCGGCAGCTCCTGGTGAGGGGCGCTGGTGGGCGGGGAGCGGGGTGGGTGACCCTGGCCTTGGGGGTACACCCCGCCCTTCCCGGGATGCCCCCTCCTCTTGTCTCCGGGCTTTGCTCTGAGGGGAACTGGTGGAACCCCAGCTTCAGAAGCTGCTGCAGCGCAGACGCAAGGGAGCCGCGGAGGAGGAGCAGCAGGACAGCGGCAGCGAGCCCCGGGGGGATGAAGACGACATCCCCCTGGGCCCTCAGTCCAACGTCAGCCTCTTGGATCAGCACCAGCACCTCAAAGAGAAGGCTGAAGGTGGGTTGGGGCAGCACTGCCTGGCAGGGCCAGAAGAGCACAGCTAAGCCTGGCCACTTGTGTTGGTATCTCTTGACATCTTTGATTTCCTTCCTCAGCCCGCAAGGAGTCTGCAAAGGAGAAGCAGCTCAAGGAAGAAGAGAAGATTCTGGAGAGTGTAGCGGAAGGACGAGGTATTGTGCCAGCTCCAGGGCAAAAGGGGAGGCAGACAGAGTCCCCTCTCCTCCAACCTCAGGCAGAGGGGTCTCACCCTCTGGGAAGCAAGAGCCAGCCTTGAGCTATGTCTTGTCTCCTTAGCCTTGATGTCAGTGAAGGAGATGGCCAAGGGCATCACGTACGATGACCCCATCAAAACCAGGTACATCTCTGTAGTCTGTGCGGTTGCCCGTAGCTGGGATGATGTGTGGTGGACCCTGGTGGTGGCACCCAGAGACCTGCTATGCTCAGATAACTTTTCTTGACCACGACTGTTGACCCTCAGTTGGACTCCACCCCGTTATGTCCTGAACATGTCTGAAGAGAGGCATGAACGAGTACGGAAGAAGTATCACATTCTGGTGGAGGGAGATGGCATCCCACCACCCATCAAGAGCTTCAAGGAAATGAAGTTTCCCGCAGGTACCTAAAAACAGTGAGACAACCATGCTCTGTGTCTGTGTTTGTGCGTGCACGCATGCGTGCCAATACTGGGGGTTGAACTCAGAGCCAGGACATAATCCCTTACCTTTTCCCTCAAGGCCTGAGCACTATCACTTGAGCCACACCTCCACTTCTAGCTTTTGTGCCATTGGAGATAAAAGTCTGATGGAGCCGGGCACTGGTGGCTCACTCCTATAATCATAGCTACTCAGGAGACTGAGATCTTAGGATCGTGGTTCAAGGCCACCCTGGACAGGAAAGCCTGTGAGACTCTTACCTCCAATTAACCACCAGAAAACTAGAAGTGGCGCTGTGGCTCAAGTGGTAGAGCACTGGCCTTCAGCTGAAGAGCTCAGGGACAGCACCCAGGCCTAGAGTTCAAGCCCCATGACTGACCAAAAAGAAAAACAAAAAATTCTGATAAACATTTCTGCATGGGCTGGCAGAGCTTTGATTCTCAGACCCCAGCTTCTAAGTAGCTGGGATTACAGGCATGAGCCACCAGTGCCCAGCCAACAGCTCCACTTTCATAACCAAGCCTCTGTGTGAGTATATGCCCAACCCTACTGAGCCCAACAATGGGGATGGAGGGATTTGAGAAGGAACTTCTTTCAAGTTATTTCTCTCATGTCTCACTCTCTTCTATTGTTTCAAAGTTTTGGTGGAAAGGTGACACTGGGCTTAGGCCTGGGTGGGAATCTTGGCTCCAGGAAGCCAGTGGACATTGAACAAAGAAATCTCTCTCGCTTCCCTCTCCCTGAGCCTGAGAGCAGTGAGGAAGTGCTCACTGTACCTGCTCTGGGACCCCCAGTAAAGCCTCTTATTTTTCATAGCAATCCTTCGAGGCCTGAAGAAGAAAGGCATCCTTCACCCAACACCCATTCAGATCCAGGGCATACCCACCATGTGAGTGCACACCGTAGACCTGGGGTTCCAGAGGAGGGCAGTGGGGGATGGGGGGGAGGGGGGCCAGCAGTGTTTGGCTAGAGAAGTAGCCACTGTCTTCCACCAGGCCTGGCTGCAGTGTGCAGTGTGTCTCCTCTCTCTCTCTCTCTCTCTCTCTCTCTCTCTCTCTCTCTCTCTCTCTCTCGACAGTTCTGGGGCTTGAATTCAGGGCCTAGACACTGCCCCTGAGTGTCTTTTGCTCAAAGTTAGAGCTATACTACTTAAGCCACAGCACCACTACTGCCTTTTTCTGTGTATGTGTATACTGAAGAATCAGATCCAGGGCTTCCTGCTTGCTAGGAAAGCACTCTACCACTAAGCCACCTCCCCAGCCCATGTCCTCTCTTTTAAACAGTCTGTCTGGCCGGGACATGATTGGTATAGCTTTCACCGGGTCAGGCAAGACTCTGGTGTTTACCCTGCCTGTCATCATGTTTTGCCTGGAGCAAGAGAAGCGGTTGCCTTTCTCCAAGCGTGAGGGGCCCTACGGACTCATCATTTGCCCCTCGGTAAGATAGACACGGCGGGGAAGGGGGGGGCGGGGAGGTAGGTGAGGAGACTGTTGGGGTACGAGCCCCATCCCTGTGCCTGCAGCGGGAGCTGGCCCGGCAGACGCACGGCATCCTGGAGTATTACTGTCGCCTGCTGCAAGAGGACAGCTCCCCGCTCCTGCGCTGTGCCCTCTGCATTGGAGGCATGTCTGTCAAAGAGCAAATGGAGACCATCCGACAGTGAGTGCAGACACTCCGAGCTCTCCCCCGCCCCCCAAGCTCCCTCCGAGCCCCCCAGAACAAGGCGACCCTTTAACTACTGCACAGGCCCTGCCAGAGGCCTCTGATGGACCCATATGTAAGGGAAGGTGGTTTGGAGAGGGCCCAGGGGTATTGTGGGAATGCATGATGTGGAATGTCTGGGGGCATCTAGAAGGGAAGAGGATGGGGTGGCTTTACAGGGAAGGTATAGGTGAGCCGTGCAGTGTCCAGAAAAGCCAGACTTGTTCAGTGTGGTTAGCCCAATGACCCTGAGGCGCTGGGGACAGGCCAGATGCCAGTGGCACCCGTGTCCTTTCCACACAGAGCAATCCCCAGCAGACATCGCCAGATGCCCTGGGGTAGATGCTAGGCTCTACGCTGGGCAAGACTCTGCCTCTGTGTCGGAGGCATTCCCAAGCTCAGGGAAGGAGAAATCGGAGGACCAGGAAAGTGAGCCCAGCAAGGCCTGTGAAGGGACTGAGAGCCTGGGGTGCAGCCTCTGCAGAGGCTGAGACAGCAGACCCCCTCCAGGGAGACAAGGGGTGCCAGCCTAAGCACTGGCCAGAAGGGTGCAGCCCCTCTGAAAGAGAGGCATGCCGTACCTAGGGCAGGATGGTGGGAGTCATGAAGAGAGAGAAGAAAGAATTAGTCACCGTCACACCAGTAAACCTTGCTACTCAGAAGGCTCAGGTCTGAGGATCATGGTCTGAAGCCAACCCAGGCATGAAATCCATGGACTCTTTTTTTGGGGGGTCTGGTCGTGGGCCTGAACTCTGGGCCTGGGCGCTGTCCCTCAGCTCTTTAGCTCAAGGCTAGCGCTCTACCACTTGAGCCACAGCGCCACTTCGCCTTTTTTTCTTTTTGCTTATGTGGTGCTGGGGAATCAAACCCAGGGCCTCATGCATGCAAGGCAAGCGCTCTACCACTGAGCCACCTTCCCAGCCCAATCCATGAGACTCTTATCTCCAAAAAATGGTGGCTCAAGTAGTAGAGCAGCGCTAGCCTTGATCAAAAGCTCAAGGACAGGGACTAGACCATGAGTTCAAGTCCCAATACCAGTGAAAAAACAACAAAAAAGGTTTCTTAGAGCCGGGCACCGGTGGCTCACGCCTGTCATCCTAGCTACTCAGGAGGCTGAGATCTGAGGATACAGTCCGGGCAGGAAACTCCGTGAGACTCTTAGCTCCAGTAAACTACTCCAAAAAGCCAGAAGCAGTGCTGCGGCTCCAACCTCGGTCTTTCTCTTTGTACCCTCAGCGGTGTGCACATGATGGTGGCCACCCCTGGGCGCCTCATGGATTTGCTACAGAAGAAAATGGTCAGCCTGGACATCTGTCGCTACCTGGCCCTGGATGAGGCCGACCGCATGATTGATATGGGCTTCGAGGGGGACATCCGCACCATCTTCTCCTACTTCAAGGTGCCGGGCCTCGGCATTTCTGGGCCCTTCCCTAAGCCCATGAATATCCCATCCAAGAACAGGGATTTCCCCCCCCCCTCCACACACACACACACACACACACACACACACACACACTATCCCTCTCTCCTTCAGAATCTCAGCCTCCTCAGGCCCCCCCCCCACTTCCTCCCCCTTCCCTCTGTAGGCCCGGTGCCCAGCCCTTCACACCCTCTGCCCTTTGACCCACCATTCCCCCAGGGCCAGCGACAGACTCTACTCTTCAGTGCCACCATGCCCAAGAAGATTCAGAACTTTGCCAAGAGTGCCCTGGTAAAACCTGTCACCATTAATGTGGGGCGCGCCGGGGCCGCCAGCCTCGATGTCATCCAGGTAGGCAGATCTGTCACCTGTGAGGCCGCCCTGAGACTGATTAGAGCAAAAAAAAAATCCACCTTGTGTGGCCAGGAGGTTCCATTGAACCCCCTCTTCTCCCCCCAGCCTTTAGCCAAGGCCATTCTTAGGGTGCTCAGCCCTGGGTGGCAGAAGGCTGCTAGCTGGGTGCCGGTGGCTCACGCCTGTCAGCCTAGAGGCTGAGATCTGAGGATCATGGTTTGAAGCCAGCCTGGGCAGGAAAGTCTGTGAGACTTTTTTTTTTGGTTGGCTTGAACTCGGGGCCTGTCCCTCAGCTCTTCAGCTCAAGGCGAGCACTCCACCACTTGAGCCACAGTGCCACTTCTGGTTTTCTGATGGTTCATTGGAGATAAGAGTCTCACAGACATTCCTGCTGAGGCTGGCTTTGAACCGTGATCCTCAGATCTCAGCCTCCTGAGTAGCCAGGATGACAGGTATGAGCCACCAACACCCAAGATATTCTTATCTCCAGTTAACCAGCACAAAACAAGCCATATGTGGTGCTGTGGCTCAAGTGGTAGAGCTTTACCCCTGGGTACAGAGAGGCTCAGGGCCAGAGCCTCAGGCCCTGACTTCCAGCCCCAGGACTGGCCAAAAAAAAAAAAGGCCATTGGTCACCTGTCTCATCTTAGAGGCCCGGCCTCTTGTGGCAGGACCAGGACTGGGGTTGCCTCTCGCCGGGATCCCCTGACCTGGTTCCTTTGGCGGCAGGAGGTAGAATACGTGAAGGAAGAGGCCAAGATGGTGTACCTGCTGGAGTGCCTGCAGAAGACCCCCCCGCCGGTGCGTCAGCGGCCGGCTGGTGCCTGGGGACCCGCGTGAGGGGGAGGGTGGTAAGGGGAAGCTAGCAGCACGCCCTCTGACTGGACCAACGCCTTCCCGGGCAGGTGCTCATCTTTGCGGAGAAGAAAGCAGATGTGGATGCGATCCACGAATACCTGCTGCTCAAGGGGGTCGAGGCCGTGGCCATCCACGGGGGCAAAGGTCAGGGCAGTGCAATCCTTGGCATGGGCCCCTCTGCCATCACAGCCCCTTCCTCTCCCCCTCCCCAGCCTGCCCACCACCGCTTCCAGAACTACTACTATCAGCCTGACAGTCTCTACCTGCCCTTCCCTAGACCAGGAGGAACGGACCAAAGCCATCGAGGCCTTCCGAGAGGGCAAGAAAGACGTCCTAGTGGCCACCGATGTGGCTTCCAAGGGCCTGGATTTCCCTGCCATCCAGCACGTCATTAATTACGACATGCCTGAGGAAATCGAGAACTACGGTAAGGAGCTTGGGGTGTTGGGGTGGGGGCGACAGGGTGTGGGCAACACACAAGAAGAAGCAAGCCTGCCAGTGCCTGGGCAGTAAGCCAGACCTGTTCCCACTCCCTTTCTCTCTCCCTCTCTCTCCCTCTCCAGTGCACCGGATCGGCCGCACCGGGCGCTCCGGAAACACAGGAATCGCCACCACCTTCATCAACAAGGCATGCGGTGAGTTGGTCACCACAGCCACCAGAGCTGTCCCAAGTCCTGTGTGTGTGTGTGGCCTCCCGGGGCGGGGCCTGACCTTCCCTCCTCTCCTCCAGATGAGTCGGTGCTCATGGACCTCAAGGCCTTGCTGCTGGAAGCCAAGCAGAAGGTGCCGCCTGTGCTGCAAGTCCTGCACTGCGGGGACGAGTCCATGCTGGACATTGGAGGTGAGGGGCCGGGTGGGAAGGCAGGGATGCGTCCCCACTGGACCTTGGAGGTGAATGGCAGGCTGGAGCACCAGTCCCTGGAGGCAGGGAGGCGGGAGCAGCATGGAAGGCAGCCGTTTGTTCATGACACGGGTGGACTCCATAACGGAGGGCCCTGCGGCCTGGCTGACCCAGCTCCCGGCCTCCCGCACAGGAGAGCGTGGCTGTGCCTTCTGCGGGGGGCTGGGCCATCGCATCACCGACTGCCCCAAGCTGGAAGCCATGCAGACCAAGCAGGTCAGCAACATTGGCCGCAAGGACTACCTGGCCCACAGCTCCATGGACTTCTAGCCAAGGACACAGTCTCAGGCCTGCACTCCCCACACACACCAGCCCGCTGGACAGGAAGCCAGCCCCCTTGGCCCAGCCGGCCTGGGCATTCCCTGGACCCCCACCCCAGAATGACTATTTTTGTTTCTCCTCCCTGTCTTCTCGTTGCTATTAAAGCACAGCCCCGCCCTGCCTCTGTCTCGCCTTCTGCCCTGGTTGCCCTGTTTGGGGTTCGGCTGCAAGGTGTCCCCACCTGCTGGCACTTGGCTGCCTGTCCTGCGCCCTCTTTTCCCAGGGCTCGGGGCACATCCTCATGAGCCCTGCTAGAGGTGTGGGGGGGGGGTGACCTAAGGAGGGATCACGGGGGGGGGGGCCAAGAGGAAATGGCTACGTCTCCGTCTCTCTCTCTTCCTGCGACATTCTGAGACTTGTAGAGCCCCTTGGGAGGCCTCTTCCTGCCCCAGGCCCCTGCCACCGCCCCAGCCAAGGGGCACTCAGTTCCATTCATGGAAGAGGTGGCAGATGCCACGAGACTGCTCCCCTCCCCCAGCCCTCTGTGTGCCCAGCTCAGGCTGGGGCTGTCAGGGTCCCCAAGAGCCTAGTGGATCCCAGGTAAGTGGGAGGCTCGGCTGGGAATCCGCATGGCTATCACAAGACTGCCAGCGGGTCAAGATTTCAGCACCTGGCCAGGTACCCCGTGGCTCCCGCCTGTCACCCCAGCTGCTCAGGAGGCTGAGATCTGAGGATCCTCATTCATTTCCCCCGGGCAGGAAAGCACGTGACTTCCTCTCTTATCATCATCACCAAAAAGCCACACATGGCACTAGCCAAGAAACAAAGCACAAGCCTTGAGCACAAAAGCTCAGGGACAGTGCCCAGGCCCCTGAGTTCAAGCCCCAGGACCACCAGTACCTGGCAAGCAGGGGGGCAGAGGGGGGGGGCGCGCAGCTCGGCTCCTCACTGGCCTAACCCAGCAGTACAGCAGTTGCTCAAGCTGTGTGTGGTGCTGGGCTTGAAGCAGGTTGCTTAACTTTCTCAGCCTTGATTTCCTCATCATTGAAATAGCAAGGCGGATACAGACCACACAAAGGACATGGGGCGGGGTAAGGGGGGCGGGGGGCGCGGGTTGGGGCCCCTGGACCCCGGTGGGCACAAGGCCAGCCCCTCCTCAGGGATAGGATTTCCCAGGATCAGTACAGTGGCCCACCAATACTGGCCTCTAGCAAAACAAGGAGTTCAAAAAAAAAAAAAAAAAGCCCTCAGCAGGAAGCAAAGCTTTATTAGCACACGTGACCTCTCTGGGACGCCCACTGGGTGCCTGCCACCCACACCCGAGTGGTGGAGGCCAGGGCGGGGAGGGCATAGATCTCACACGAACAGCCGTCCGATGTGCTGATGCTCTCTGACACCTTGGAGTGGTCCGGGAAGGCTTCTCGGAGGAAGCAGCATTCCCCCTCCTCACCCACCCCACCCTGCCTGCCAGCTGAGCAATACCAAGGTAAGAGGGCTGAAGTATGGGGAAACAGGCCAAGAGACCCAAGCCAGACCGCAAGATGAGAGAGACAACTGATTCAGAGTCAGGGCTGGCATATGGCACATTCTATTTGAGATGATACTTCCACACACACAAGGCCCTGAGTTCAATCCCCCACGACCACCACTAACAAGCCCAATGGCGGAAACCCAAGGAATCAGGAGGTGGAGAGCCAGGAGATCACCGGGCCAGAGGAGGGTCTTGGTGGGGGCAGGGCGGTACAATGATGGGGGGGTAGGGGGGAGCCCAGGTCTTGTGACTCAAGACAGCCTGCCTGTGGTCAGACTCTCATGCCCAGCTGACTTGGTGCGGCCTTGGAGATCCACTGCCCTTCCGCCCATCCACTGAGACCCCGACCAGGCAGGTGTGAGCACTTGGCGCTGGCCAAGACCTCGAGGAAGAAACATGTTCTGTCCCCCATCCCCTTAGCCCAAGCCCCAGCGGTGCTCCCCTCCCCCGGCCGCTGTGGATGAAGGGAGGGGGAAGCGGCAGAAGGGGAAGTTGGAGAAGTTCCTGTCCGCCTGGCTGCCAGTCTCCTCAAGTCTTCACAACAGCTCAACCCATGGAGTCCGTGGAGACCCCCGTCAAGGATGGCGTCCTCTACCAGCAGCAGGTCAAGTTTGGCAAGGTGGGATTTCCCGGCTGCCAGGCAGCTGCCAAGGGCCAGAGGTAGGCAGAGAAAGCTGGCCTGGCATTGCCCAGCTGACTCTGCCAGGACCTAGGGAGGCAGTAAAGCGGTCTGGGTCGGAGCGGGGAGTCCAGGAACTCACGAGTGAGCAGAAGAGAGCAGGTTCTGGGCCTGGGAGGGTCGGGGTTAAAACAAAAACAAAACCTGCTTTACTCAGCCCCTGTCTTCGGGTAGAGATGGGGAAGCTGCAAATCCAGGAAGGGTCTAAGTCACCATCTCCGCTAAGAGGCACTGGGGGCTCACGCGCTGGCAATGTTTAGCTACTCAGGAGGCTGAGGCCTGGAGGATCGTGATTTGAGGACATGCAGAAAAGCCAGCCCAACCCCCTGGGGCTCCTATCTCCAATGAACCAGCAAAATGCTGGACTGGAGGCATGGCTGGTGTGATAGAGCCACAGCTTCAAACAAGCAACCAGAGAGAGATTGGCAAACTGGACAGAGCCTCTGCCTTCTGACTCATGTGGTAGGGGCACAGAGCCCATCCCTAAAGGGCCAGGGGTAAAGCTAGAGTGCCCAGAGGTAGACCAGTACCCAGAGTCAGGCAGGGCCCCTATCTCTGTCAAGGGCTTGGCGGGGGGGGGGGGGGGGGTGCGGCGGGGAATTCACCTTTGCCCACAGCTGCTACCCAAGAGGATAAACCACCTGTTTCCTTTGTTAGAAGGTATTTGCATGTTTCCTTCCTTTCCTGCAAGACACACAGCCTCCTTCCGACCCACCCTGAAAGTGTCCTTTTTTTTGGGGGGGAGGGGATCAACATAGTAGTATCAGATGGGTCACCCATGACTAGAGACATAGCCTGGCACTGGTGGCTCCTGCCTATAATCCAAGCTACTCGGGATCGAGGTTCGAAGCCAGCCTGGGCAGAAAAGTCCCTGAGATTCTTATCTAAAATACTGGAAGTGGAAGCTGGGCGCCAGTGGCTCACGAGCCTGTCATCCCAGCTACCCAGGAGACTGAGATCTGCGGATCACAGTTCAAAGCCAACCCCGGCAGGAAAGTCCATGAGACTCATCTCTCATGAACCACCAGAAAACTGGAAATGGTGCTCTGGCTCAAGTATAGAGCACTAGCTTTGAGCTGAAGAGCTGAGAGACTGTGCCCAGGCCCAAAGTTCAGACCCCATGACTGACAAAGAAAAAAAAAAAAAGTCCATGAGACTCTTATCTCCAGCAAACTACTACTAAAAAAAAGCCATAATTGGAGGTGTCGCTCAAGACCTAAGGTACCAGCCTTGAGCAGAAAAGCCAAGCAAGAGTAGGAGAGGCCCTGAGTTCAAGCCTTAATACTGGCACCAAGAAAAGGAAAAAAAAGAATATATAAATATATGCATAGACTGTGTAGAAACTTCAGAAGAAGTCTTCATGGTCCTTAGAAGACTAGGATACTGGTTATTTTTTGTTGTTGTTGGTCGTGGGGCTTGAACTCTGGCCTGGATGCTGTCCCTCAGCTCTTCAGCTCAAAGCGAGCGCTCTACCCCTTGAACCACAGCGCCACTTCTGGTTTTCTGGTGGTTCCTTGGAGATGAGTCTCACAGAGCTGGGCATTGGTGGCTCACCTCTGTAAACCTAGCTACTCAGGAGGCTGAGATCTGAGGATCGCGGTTCAAAGCCAGCCTGGGCTGCAAAGTCCATGAGACTCTGATCTCCCATAAACCACCAGAAAAACAGAAGTGGCGCTGTTGCTCAAGTGGTAGAGCACTCACTTTGAGCTGAAGAGCTGAGGGACAGCGCCCAGGCCCTGAGTTCAAGCTCCACAACCAACAAAAAAAGAATCTCACAGATTTTCCTGCCCGGGCTGGCTTTGAACCGCGATCCTCAGATCTCAGCCTCCTGAGTAGGTAGGATGACAGGTGTGAGCCACCAGGGCCCAGCTTTTCTTTTCTTTTCTTTTTTCTTTGCCAGTCCTGGGGCTTAAACTGAGGGCCTGGGCACTGTCCCTGAGCTGCTTTTGCTTCAGGCTAGCACTCTACCACTTGAGCCACAGCACCACTTCCAGCCTTTTCTGTGTCTGTGGCACTGTGGAACCCAGGGCTTCCTGTATGCTAGGTAAGCACTCTACCACTGAGCCACCTTCCCAGCCCAGATGCTAGCTTTTCTGAGATCGCAAGAAATGGCAGTGTGGTATTTGAACCCAGGGCTGACTGGTCCCAAACACATACTTTCGCTCAAGCTGCCTGGCCCAGCCCTGGTACCCTTGACATCAGGGCGAAAATGCTCAGTTGCTGAGCAGCTTGTGCTGGCCTAAGTGACAGGGACACCCTGCCACCCATGGTCTCCCTGTCCCCCCTCCCCACCTTAGAAGTCGTGGCGGAAGGTGTGGGCCCTGCTGTACGCTGGAGGCCCGTCCGGCGTGGCCCGGCTGGAGAGCTGGGACATGCGCGATGGCGGCCCGGGGCCAGCGAGTGACCGACCTGCTGCGGGGCCCGGGCGGCGCGGGGAGCGCAGGGTCATCCGCCTGGCTGACTGCGTGTCTGTGCTGCCCACGGACCACGAAAGCTGCCCCCGGGACACGGGTGCCTTCCTGCTCACCACCACAGAGCGAAGCCACCTGCTGGCCGCCCAGCATCGCCAGTCATGGATAGGGCCCATCTGCCAGCTGGCCTTCCCTGTGAGTACAGGGGCCGGGGGCCAGGTGGAGGGTGTGGGGGGGGGCGGCACGGGTGAGGGGGGCAGGGCTGGGGTGACGTCACCCCCACGCATATTCACTCACATCCTGTCACTTGCTCAACGTTGCCAACCACCTGCGAGGCTGGGAAATCGCCCAGAAAGTCATAGGACAAATCCTAGAGGGCTGTGCATGCATGCTAGACAGGAAATAAGACTCGGGGATGGGATTGGAGCGAACAGGCAGACAAGAGGCCAAAGAAGCTTCTCTGAGGAGGGGATGGTGGGCCTGAACAACAAGAAAGCAAAGAAAGAAAGGAAGGAAGAGAGGAAGGGAAGGGGAGAGGAGAGGAGGGGAGGGAGAGAGGGA